GAAAATTCCTAGAGAACTCTGAGTAAAAGCCTAAAAAGGATGTGGAGAAATTCTAATTAGTAGATACTGAAAAGATTCTGTGAATCCAACTGGACTGATTTGTGTCAAATTATTCTGTATAACTCAGAGTTATACTCTGTATAACCCCTACCTGGGATTTTCAAAGAAGAAAAATTTAAGTACAAAATACGTATCTGCCGTTTGCCTGAAATTAATTATTTTGACAGAATCATTGCATAATTTAAGGAATAAATGTGGTGATTTCATAATGTGCCTTTAAAAAAAGAAAGAAAGGAGAACAGTATTCAGAAACGGACAGCCTGAATACATACTGTAGAATTTCTCGACTCCAGTATGAGCTTAGCTCTTTAGCAGCCTTCCATAAGCCCTCTTCTCATGAAGTGTTCTCAAAGTGAAAAAAATTACACAGTACCACAGAAATGCTTTCTGCACCATTCCTCTTTTTAGTAATTGCAAATATCTGATTTGCTTTTGTGACCATACAAAGCACTGAGTTGACATTCTCAGTGATATATCTATCTCAATGTTCTAAAGGTGATTCCAAGATGACTCTTACCCATGTGCATTTCTTTCTGTTTACAATATTCTATTTCATCAAATTCCTCAGTCTTGTACGATCTTCAGCAATCCTCCAGTCTTCTCTCTTCCTATACTGAAGACAACAGAAGTATCTTGACAAATTGCATACCCAAAATAAGACATAGTGAATCACTGGATTACATGTTAGCTTTGCTTGACTACTCACCTTCTGGTGACTGTAATTCCTTTTGCATTCTGCCTGGCCAGATTCACCATTTTAGACCAAATAAAATCTGCACCCGTCATTACAGAGGCTTGCAATGTCCCAGGGTATACTCAATACTAAAACCATACATATATTTTCATTAGGTACTCCACAGACTGTATTGAAATAAACCAAATTATATCAGTCCTTTCAACTAAACACCTTGCCTACTTTCCTCTGCCTGTAGTAATACAAAGTGCTGCATGCATGGCCAACTCACTCTTGCAACAAAACATAAGGCATAAATGAGGCGAAAAAAAGCTACATTTTTCCATTCAAATTCCATTGCAACAGAATGATAAGCTGAAACACTGACAACCAAACATCTCTAAGAATAAATAAAATGTGCTGAAGATGAATATTTACAAATTTTGACATGACTGTTTAAACAAATTATCTGCAGATGTCCATTTTGCTCTTCTTCCAAAGATATGCCAAAAGAATGCTGTGTATGATTGGGCCTCAATCCACCCTAAAGAAAATGCAGTGTCTTAAAAAAAAAAAAAAAAATTCCTTCCCTGGTAACTTAAGGTAAGCCAAAGGACTTAGCAAATGAAGGATTTAAGTGGAGGCACATAAGAATCTGCAGTAGTGCCAGTAAGCACTAACAAAGCAGCAGGCTGAACATTATCTGAGGTGCAACAGTTTCCCCTGAGCTTTTTTGCAGCAGCCATTGATTTCCCACAGAGAAATGCAGGATCTGCCTCACTCACTTGCACATTTAGAATTCCCACGAACTGCCATGGGAACTTTTCCGTACAAAGATACAAGACCAAAAAATAAAGATACGCACTGGCAAAGTGAAGTAAATACACTGAGCCTCTCAGGAGGCATGCAGATATTTGAGACCTCTTTCCTGCCCTTCTCTAGCCATGTCTTTACAGTTTACCTGTGAAGAAGTTCTGATATAATTAAGCCTGGTGTTTGAAGTGCGAAACATCCAGGAAAAGTGGTTATAAATATAATAGCTGGTTATAAATATGGTTATAATGCCTATTATAATAGTGGTTATAATAGCTGGTTATAAACTCTCCAGTAAACAATAAAACCCTGTCCTAAAGTATGTGCCATGTAACCATATTAAAGTCGCTGTTAATTTGACAAAGCTTTAATAGAAAAATCAGTTCTGATGTATACTAAATATAGTTAAACTTATCCAACACATAATCAGCTATATATCTTGTTTACTTTGTATGGAGATACTTTGTATCTTAACAAGACACAGTTATTTTAATTTGTGAATTATAACAAATTCATAATGATGAACAGTATTTTATTCTACCTAATAACAAGTATATCCAAATGAATAAACAGCAATGCTATTTTTTCCTTTGGAAATTTTCTTATAATATTTTAGGTTCTACTTAGAAAGGAGCAAACCTGGCCCACTAAACATGAAAGCAAAGAACAAAAGAATATTCT